GGGCGCCTGTTACGAGCGGGGTCCCACAGGGGTCAGTTCTAGGACCAGTGCTATTTTTGATATATGTGAACGACATGATGGAAGGAATAGACTCTGAAGTGTCCCTGTTCGCAGATGACGTGAAGTTGATGAGAAGAATTAAATCGGACGAGGATGAGGCAGGACTGCAAAGAGACCTGGAGAGGCTGGACATGTGGTCCAGTAACTGGCTTCTCGAATTCAATCCAGCCAAATGCAAAGTCATGAAGATTGGGGAGGGGCAAAGAAGACCGCAGACAGAGTATAGGCTAGGTGGACAAAGACTACAGACCTCACTCAGGGAGAAAGACCTTGGGGTGACCATAACACCGAGCACATCACCGGAGGCACACATCAACCAAATAACCGCTGCAGCATACGGGCGCCTGGCAAACCTGAAAATAGCGTTCCGATACCTTAATAAGGAATCGTTCAAGACACTGTACACTGTGTATGTTAGGCCCATACTGGAGTATGCAGCACCAGTCTGGAACCCACACCTGGTCAAGCACGTCAAGAAGTTAGAGAAAGTACAAAGGTTTGCAAGAAGGCTAGTCCCAGAGCTCAAGGGAATGTCGTACGAGGAAAGGTTAAGGGAAATCGGACTGACGACACTGGAGGACAGAAGGGTCAGGGGAGACATGATAACGACATACAAGATACTGCAGGGAATAGACAAGGTGGACAGAGATAGGATGTTCCAGAGAGGGGACACAGGGACAAGGGGTCACAACTGGAAGCTGAAGACTCAGACGAGTCACAGGGACGTTAGGAAGTATTTCTTCAGTCATAGAGTTGTCAGCAAGTGGAATAGCCTAGCAAGTGAAGTAGTGGAGGCAGGAACCATACATAGTTTTAAGAAGAGGTATGACAAAGCTCAGGAAGCAGAGAGAGAGAGGATCCAGTAGCGATCAGTGAAGAGGCGGGGCCAGGAGCTGAGTCTCGACCCCTGCAACCACAATTAGGTGAGTACAATTAGGTGAGTACACACACACGCACACGCACGCACACGCACACACACGCACACGCACACGCACACACACGCACACGCACACGCACCACACACACACACACACACACACACACACACACACACACACACACACACACACACATACTACAGGCCTAGTGTCTAATCGACATGTGCCTAGGACAAAATGGTAACTAACTAACTAACTAACACACACACACACACACACACACACACACACACACACACACACACACACACACACACACACACACACACACACACACACACACACACACACATACACACACGCACACACATACACACACACACACACACACACCCACACACACACACACACACACACACACACACACACACACCTGGACACCTGGTCCAGCAAATGGCTTCTCGAATTTAATCCTGCCAAATGCAAAGTCATGAAGATAGGGGAACGGCACAGAAGACCACAGACAGAGTATAGGCTAGGTGGCCAAAGACTGCAAACCTCACTCAAGAGAAAGATCTTGGGGTGAGTATAACACCGAGCATGTCTCCGGAAGCACACATCAATCAGATAACTGCTGCAGCATATGGGCGCCTGGCAAACCTGAGAACAGCATTCCGATACCTAGTAAGGAATCGTTCAAGACACTGTACACAGTGTATGTCAGGCCCATACTGGAGTATGCAGCACCTGTATGGAACCCCACTTGATAAAGCACGTCAAGAAACTAGAGAAAGTACAAAGGTTTGCGACAAGGTTAGTTCCAGAGCTAAGGGGAATGTCCTATGAAGAAAGATTAAGGGAAATCGGCCTGACGACACTGGAGGACAGTAGGGTCAGGGGAGACATGATAACGACATATAAAATACTGCGTGGAATAGACAAGGTGGACAAAGACAGGATGTTCCAGGGAGGGGACACAGAAACAAGAGGCCACAATTGGAAGTTGAAGACACAAATGAGTCAGAGAGATATTAGGAAGTATTTCTTCAGTCATAGAGTTGTAAGGCAGTGGAATAGCCTAGAAAATGACGTAGTGGAGGCAGGAACCATACACAGTTTTAAGACGAGGTTTGATAAAGCTCATGGAGCGGGGAGAGAGAGGGCCCAGTAGCAACCTGTGAAGAGGCGGGGCCAGGAGCTAAGACTCGACCACTGCAACCACAAATAGGTGAGTACAAATAGGTGAGTACACACACACACCCACACACACACACACACACCCACATATACACACGCACACACATACACAACACACACACACACACACACACACACACACACACACACACACACACACACACACACACACACACACACATACACACACACATACACACACACACACACACACACACACACACACACACACACACACACACACACACACACACACACACACACACACACACACACACACACACACACACACACACACACACACACAAGAGATTCAAAGAAGTGTTCACAGAGGAGACAGAAGGGGCTCCAGAAAGACGGAGAGGTGGGGCACACCACCATGTGCTGGACACAGTACACACAACCGAGGAAGAAGTGAAGAGGCTTCTGAGTGAGCTAGATACCTCAAAGGCAATGGGGCCAGATAACATCTCTCCATGGGTCCTGAGAGAGGGAGCAGAGGCGCTATGTGTACCCCTAACAACAATATTCAATACATCTATCGAAACAGGGAGATTGCCTGAGGCATGGAAGACAGCAAATGTGGTCCCAATCTTTAAAAAAGGAGACAGACATGAAGCACTAAACTACAGACCAGTGTCACTGACATGTATAGCATGCAAAATCATGGAAAAGATTGTCAGGAGAAGAATGGTAGAACATCTAGAAAGGAATGATCTCATCACCAGCAGCCAACATGGTTTCAGAGATGGGAAATCCTGTGTCACAAACCTACTGGAGTTCTATGACATGGTGACAGCAGTAAGACAAGAGAGAGAGGGGTGGGCGGATTGCATTTTCTTGGACTGCAAGAAGGCTTTTGACACAGTACCACACAAGAGATTAATGCAAAAACTGGAGGACCAAGCAGGGATAACAGGGAAGGCACTGCAATGGATCAGGGAATACTTGTCAGGAAGACAGCAGCGAGTAATGGTACGTGGCGAGGTGTCAGAGTGGGCACCTGTGACCAGCGGGGTCCCACAGGGTCAGTCCTAGGACCAGTGCTGTTTCTGGTATTTGTGAACGACATGACGGAAGGAATAAACTCCGAGGTGTCCCTGTTTGCAGATGACGTGAAGTTGATGAGAAGAGTTCATTCGATCGAAGACCAGGCAGAACTACAAAGGGATCTGGACAGGCTGCAGACCTGGTCCAGCAACTGGCTCCTGGAGTTCAATCCCACCAAGTGCAAAGTCATGAGGATTGGGGAAGGGCAAGAAGACCGCAGACGGAGTACAGTCTAGGGGCCAGAGACTACAAACATCACTCAAGGAAAAAGATCTTGGGGTGAGTATAACACCAGGCACATCTCCTGAAGCGCACATCAACCAAATAACTGCCGCAGCATATGGGCGCCTGGCAAACCTCAGAACAGCATTCCGACATCTTAATAAGGAATCGTTCAGGACCCTGTACACCGTGTACGTTAGGCCCATATTAGAGTATGCGGCACCAGTTTGGAACCCACACCTAGCCAAGCATGTAAAGAAACTAGAGAAAGTGCAAAGGTTTGCAACAAGACTAGTCCCAGAGTTAAGAGGTATGTCCTATGAGGAGAGGTAAGGAAATCAACCTGACGACACTGGAGACAGGAGAGATAGGGGGACATGATAACGACTTACAAAATACTGAGAGGAATTGACAAGGTGGACAAAGACAGGATGTTCCAGAGACTGAAAACAGCAACACGGGACACAGTTGGAAGCTGAAGACACAGATGAATCAAAGGATGTTAGGAAGTATTTCTTCAGCCACAGAGTAGTCAGTAAGTGGAATAGTCTGGGAAGAGATGTAGTGGAGGCAGGATCCATACATAACTTTAAGCAGAGGTACGATAAATACGATAAAGCTCACGGTTCAGGGAGAGTGACCTATTAGCGACCAGTGAAGAGGCGGGCCAGGGCTTGGACTCGACCCTGCAACCTCAACTAGGTGAGTACAACTAGGTGAGTACACACACACACCCACACACACACACACACACACACACACACACACACACACACACACACACACACACACACACACACACACACACACACACACACAATATGGAGGAGGTAGAATAAGAAACCTTTATTTATTTTTTGTGTAGAAGCCATTGTATTTTTCCGAGGCTGTGGGCTCCAATAATAATAATAATAATTCTACTACTACTAACAATAATAATAATAATAATAATAATAATAATAATAATAATAATAATAATAATAATAATAATAATAATAATAATAATAATAATAATAATAAAAACTGATAAAATATCAACTGCATCAATAATATTAACTTTTTTTAATTGATATCCCTGGAGAGAGAGGTTCATTGACGCTGACAAGGGGCTCTTGTTCCATGGAATTGAACATCCCTTCCCCTTCCTGTTTGCCTCCCATTACTCCAGGTGCCGTACGACCTTCCCTCCTGCCAGGTCTACAGTTACGGTACTCCAACGTACGAAAGTTTGAAGCCTATCGAGTGAGGCGTTCGCAAGCTATAAATGGAATCCTTGGAAAGAGGACTCTTAATATATATACTTCTCTCACATTAGAGAGATTTCTCACCAATCTCCGAGCAAAGTGTCCCATTCTTATCCTTACAGAGCAAGGGAAGGCTGGAACACTGAACCCGTGACACTATAAAATACTTTGATCAAACATTACTGAAATACTTTGAGGAATGTTGTTCTCTAATGATTTTCGGAGGAGGAGGCGGCGGTAGATGATGATGATGATGATGATGATGATGATGATGATGATGATGATGATGATGATGATGATGATGATGATGATGATGATGATGATGATGATGATGATGATGATGATGATGATGATGATGATGATGATGATGAAGGTGATTGGTAATGGCGATAGCAGTTGTGATAATGGTTGTATTGATAGTATTGTTGACAAAAATGATGACGGTCACGGTGACAGTGTTGATGATGATGATGATAGTGATGATGATGATGTGGTTGAGAGTTATGATGATCCGGATCTGGAGGCGAAAGAAGGTGAAAATAAAACAAGGAGGTAATGTATAATGTTATTGTAAAGAATGTTGGAGGATTGGGAAGGGGAAGGAGAAATAAAAAAGAGATGAGAGGGAAGACGGAGAGAGAGAGAGAGAGAGACAGAATTAGCTGCACCTGACAGAAGTGCGCATTTAGCGCACTAAGCGCACGCACCACTTAAGGCGCAAGAATATAGGAGAACGATGGAGGGGTGAGGGAAGATAAGGAAGAGAGAGGTGTAGCACAAAGTCGCAAACTTGGGTAATAAAGTATATGCGCCAAGGTTGCCACTGCAAGAACGAGTGAGATGATAAAGTAGACGAAGCCGCTGAGGTGTCCCAGCATGAGCCAGGTATATTGCTGTCTAGGACATAAAGCCGATCACAGGATCACGGCACAAGCGGCTGGCACCGACAACCAGTGGATGAAGCCGATGTACGAAGCGGTGGACTGAAATAAACACAGTGAAATATATTTTTGAAATTTGCGTTTGCATGTTTGTGCTTTTATGCATGTTCATAACCCCAACCTTCTTCTAACTAGCATTCGCCTGTGTTAGAAGTTTGAAGCCGACCTCAAGAGGCATTCACAGGTTATCGCAAAGAAGCCAAATTCAGGAATAGTCTGTGTAACATTGCACAGAGGAGTGCCTGCGCATGATGATCGTGGATGCGTGAACCTGTCAGTCGTTGCAGCAAACCAGTGTTGAAAGTTTGAAGCTAATCGGATGAGGCATTCCCGAGTTATGAACTAAAACCTTGGAGGAGGTAAAATAAAAAAAAAGGGTGAGAACCGTTTAAAGGCACCTTTCTGGGATACCTAAAACAGGGCTACCCTTAAGAGATACATAAAAAATAGGCTACCCTAAGGGAATATCTAAAAAAGGTTTACCTCTTCGGGGATACCTTAAAAAAGGTTACCCTTCTGGGATACCTAAAGAAAGTTTATCATTCGGGGATACCTTAGAAGAGTTTCCTCTCCTGGGATACCTAAAAACAATTACCCTTTGGGGATACCTAAAAAGGTTACCCTTCGGGGATACCCAAAAAAGGATTACCTCTTCGGGGATAGGTTTCCCTGTCATATTCCATCATTCTAGACCTGTTTCCCTGTCATATTCCATCGTTCTGGACGGGTTTCCCTGTCACATTTCATCGTTCAAGATGGAATATAACAGGAAAGGTTACCCCTCGGGGATACCTAAAGAAAAGCCACCCTGCTAGGATACCCAACGAAAGGGTTACCCTTCAAACTGTGCTTCATCGGTGATATCCAACCGCAAAAAAAAAAACAATCAAAATCCGAAGGAAAAAAAAAATAAAATAAGTGATTACTTATCTCAACGTCGATTGTACAATACCAAAGAAAACTTTCCGTGAGTTTGAGTGGCAAGACTCATATATCGGGAGCGTGCAGCAGCAGCTGGTCTTATCTGTGAGTGTGGTGGCTAGGTTCTGCTTGGCTACGAGCCGATATCCTGTTTGACTTGTGAATTATTAACTAGGTTAATATTGTACAAGAGATTGTCGAGTGCCTGGATCCAGTCCAGGAGTAATAGCTGTGCTCAGGCCATTTCTTCTGACGGAGTATAATGGCAGGGAAATGTGTGCAATTTTCGGTGGTTGGTGTTCAAGGAATTATAGTGTGTCGTGGAGGAGGGGGGGAGGGGAGGGGAGGGAGGGAGGGAGGGAGGGAGAGAGAGAGAAAGAGAGAGAGAGAGAGAGAGAGAGAGAGAGAGAGAGAGAGAGAGAGAGAGAGAGAGAGAGAGAGAGAGAGAGAGAGAGAGAGAGAGAGAGAGAGAGAGAGAGCAAGAGATTGATTTTTGGACATAGAGTAGTACCCACGAAGGAGCAATAAGGCATTTTTTGCTTCACAGATCTCACTCACTGTCTCCCATTCCAACCACACCAATTTTTTTCCTCTTTTTTTCCCCTCCTTTCCCCTCCCCTGGTCATGTCGATCCCAATCTCTACCTCTCTCATTCTCACCTCCATTTCTGCCTCTTCTTCCACGTTATCCTCCCTCTCCTCCTCCTCCTCCTCCATTCAACTTCCACCGCTCTCCCTATCTCCAAATCTTTATTTCCACCTCCTCTGTTCCCCTTCTGGTCCTCTTTCGCCCTCCCATAGCAAGAGGGAGTGGAGAGAGGAAGGAGAGGCTCTTGTAACTCTGCGGACGTGCTGACAATAGAGTCTGTATGAGGATGGAGAGTTCTCCATTATTGACAAGTGAAGCACGATACCACTCCACTCACTCTACTATTTATACAGATTTACCAACAACTTTAACGGAACTCAAAAGGTTTTATAAGAAACTTTTTCTCGGATGGACGTGTGCGGATTTTGCCTAAATGGTGACCATTTTTGAGATGTTGCTTCATTATTATTCTTTGTGAGTTCCACTGAGGCATGAAAGCACTTGGAATATATATATCGATAACAACACTGCACTAGCCAAGGAGTCGAACCCATGCTGTTTTGGCCCGCCTCATGGTGAGCGAAAACGCATAACGCTTTACACCACTAGTACACCAAACAGGGACGAGAATGAAATTAGCTTGAAAGCTCCCACACCTCCGTATGTCATCGGATCAAGAGTAACATACCTAGCTTGACTGGGTGCTTGGTTCTTGTAGTATTGGGTCGTCCTGTGGGTTAAGGCATCACGTGATTCTCGCTCACAATGGCGAGCCAGTACAACATGGGTTCGAATCCTTGGCTAGCGCAGTGTTGTTATTGATATATATATTATATATATATATATATATATATATATATTATATATATATATATATATATATATATATATATCTTCTTTCAACAAACCGGCCGTATCCACCGAGGCAGGGTGGCCTAAAAAGGAAAATGAAAGTTTATGTGGCATTTGTGGCAAAGTGGATAAGAGCGCTGCCTGGGAATCTCAACCATCTCAGTAGCAGTATCGAGTCCTGCTGACTGCGATCTTTCTCTTAGTCTCTCTCTCTCTCTCTCTCTCTCTCTCCTCTCTCTCTCTCTCTCTCTCTCTCTCTCTCTATATATATATATATATATATATATATATATATATATATATATATATATATATATATATATATATATATATGAATGGTTTGAATGATAGTTATAGGCCTTTCGTGTTGCAATCAACATAACCTGCATATATATCTATTTTAGCCCTGACGAACATAAGAATTGCTTTCAGGAACCCCGGTAATATACATCATCTTTAGATATGAAGACTCAGACAGAATCCATACCTACCCAAGCATATATAAAATGTTTGAAGCTTAAACGATTTGTTGCCCTGCTACAACCTGAGTTTAGGGACCGAATGTTGATGGCAAGTTTTAGGAGCCGAGTTTCACAATACTAGTCACGATGACACAGAGCTGACGTGACTACAACACGCCACACACGACAGAGTTGACGTAGACAAGCTGTATGAATGATATAAAAAAAATTTAAGTGTGTGGGGTGGTGAGAAGAGGAATGAGCTAGGGAAGTAGGTTGGAATCCATTGCTTCTTGTAGATCAACAGAAGGCTGGAAGCCAGTGATTCTTGCATGCTAAGACATACCGGAAATAAGTGATTCTTGCAGGATGAAAACGTATTGGAAGCCAATGATTCTTGCAGTCTAAGAACATATTGGAAACCAGTGATTCTTGCAGGCTAAAAACATATTGGAAGCCATTGATTCTTGTAGGCTAAGAACATATTGGAAGCCAGTGATTCTTGCAGGCTAAGAACATATTGGAAGCCAGTGATTCTTGCAGGCTAAGAACATATTGGAAGCCAGTGATTCTTGCAGGCTAAGAACATATTGGAAGCCAGTGATTCTTGCAGGCTAAGAACATATTGGAAGCCAGCGATTCTTGCAGGCTAAGAACAGATTGAAATCCAGAGATTCTTGCTAAGCGAAGTCTGAATAAAGAGCTTTCGATGTAGGAAACGGCATTGCCTCTGCCTTCGCTGGTATCTTGCACGGTCGGTCACAACAGGCCTTTTAAAAAGCACATGTGTTCCTGACAGGAAGTACATTCTTTCTCTCGTATCTTTTGTGACGTTCTGCTTCGTCTCCTGGATTCCCCATTTCGAAGGGGCATAGCCCCCCATCACCCCTCCTTCCAGAGACCCCTCCAGTAGTGCCCAGCCCCACCTCACTGCACCTCACATCAATTAATGTGGAGTGACGTTGGCAATAAACCCGAGTCGTTTCACAAAGTCCAAAATGTCCTCTTTATGTGTTGTCGTAAATCTGAGCTAATTGTGGGAATTTAAGGAGAGCGAGAAGGTGGGAAAGTCCTGGCGGAAAACACTGGGAGTGAAAATGAAAGGGGAAAGTGTAGAAATGGAGAGAGACTGATATACTGAAAGACGAATTGATAGTTTTCCCGACAGACAAAAAACTCAATATAGCAAAAATAAAAGTAGTAATATTAAAAGCAATAAGGATACAAGGGAGTATTGCCGAGAACATTGAGGAGAAGACACCGGCGCAAAGGACATTATTTTGACAGCGCCTAGTCAAGGACCGAGAAGCTGGGGCACTGGTCCCTCAGGACACTCTCCAGGTAGATTCCGGGGAGACTACTACATTTACTGCTACTGCTACTACTGATACTGCTACTGCTACTATCATATCTTTCTCCCTCTGCCAACCTGCTTCCTGTCTTTTGATAACTATCTATGACAGCGCACTGCCCATAACAGTCATAAGTGACAACACAGTGCCCATAACAGTCACAAGTGACAACACAATGCCCATAACAGTCATAAGTGACAACACACTGCCCATAATAGTCACAAGTGACAACACACTGCCCATAACAGTCACAAGGGATAACACACTAGCCACAACAGTCACAGGTGACAACACACTGCTTATAACAGTCACAAGTGACAAAACACTGGCCACGACAGTCACGAGTGACAACACACTGCCCACACCAGTCACAAATGACAACACACTACCCACACCAGTCACAAGTAACAACACACTA